AACTCGCAATCGCAATCATTATTAAAATCGCAGTCTCAAACATTTGTTCAGCCCACCACACCAGTTGTAAACATTGACAATATTACTCCACGTGGTAGGCCAAGATCACGTGCAAATTCGATGTCAACAAAAAGTAGAGGTCGTTCAACTAGTGCGCGTGCGCAGAGGGAATCGGCAGCAACTAGAAAAGCGCCGGCAAATCAGCAATCAGTTAGGCAGACGATGACTCCTCCCACAACTACGCAACATACATCAGCGTCAAATGATCACACTGTGGGCGGGGATTAGGATTTTTACAGTACAAAAAGTGTAAACAATTTACGATTTGCATTATTTAATATACAGTGCTTGAAAACTAAATCTATTGATAAACTGAAGTGTTCTGAAATAACTGATTTATTCAATAATAACGATATAGTTTGTTTGACTGAAACTTGGGGAGATAATAACACAAATTTTGAAGTAGACAATTTTCAACATTTTGCTTTAAATAGAAAAGAGAAAGTTTTAGGTTCCACGAGGTCTTCCGGTGGTCTAGTTATTTATTTACGTCGTGAACTTTGTTGTGATGATACATTTGTTTTGTGAGAGAGACGATACACATTTGTGGGTAAAAATAAATGGGGAATTATTTAATATTGATGGTCATTTATTTATTGCATTGTGTTATATTATCCCATCTACATCTAGCAGGAATCGTTTTGTTGAAAATAATGTATATGATAATTTAATTGATGACATTGTATTTTTACGAAGTAAATATGGAGAGAACGCGTGCGTTTTATGATTTTGGGAGACTTAAACCCTGGGGTCTGGAAAGAAGGGGTGAGAATACAATTATTCTTTTTTAAAAATAATTTTTTTAAACCTGATGACTAAAAAATAGATAAAAAATTTCCCCCAAAAAAAATTTTAATAAAAAACGAACAGTAATGGTTTTATTATGATGATTTTTTGAAAAGACGGGGTTTACGTATGCAAACGACGGGGTTGATGAGAGGGTGCCTTTACTTTATATCAAACGGGTTTATGTTTTTGTTTTTTGTTTTTGGATGAACATTTTTTAACATTATTGATATTTTTTAAAACGCAGGGCCAATAACTGTCAGATCATGTTAATAGATTTTCCTTTAAAAAATTTTTTTATTCTATGATAAATTGTGAAGAAAATGAAAAAACCGAATTAAATTTAAATATAATATATAATCATTTTTCTATAAATGGTTTCTGAACAAAAAAGATGTCTTTTTAAACTCTATTCAAAGTGATGTATTTATGATGCATCTTTCTGAGTTAGATAGTAAATTGATAGTGCTAACACACATGTTGAAATTGATGCATGTATAGATAATTTTGTTCAATGTATTGAAGATGTATGTAAACCTTTATTTGGTAAATATAGTAAAGTTGATGGTAGATTTAATAAGTATGATCATCAAAATCAGGACGCTGCATTATATAGTAACATATGTGTAAACAATAGAGTAGATTTTTATAAGAAACTTAATGTTTATAGAAGAAATAAGTCAGAATTAAACAGAATAAATATGGTACAAGCAAGAAGTATATACAAAAAGAGCGTCCGAGTTTTTCAATATGAAAAAGATAAGATTAGAACACAGAAGTTAATGTCAGCACGTTATAGCAATGCCAAGTTATACTGGAAAATGTTGAAAGAAAGCAGTTATAAGAAAGGTCCGAAAGGAATTTCACTCGACACTTTTACTGAATACTTTAAAGCAATTAATAATCCTGAAAATAGATTTTTTCAAGCAGACGAAGATGTTTTAGATTTTACAAATCGTATTTTAGATAACGAGGTAAAAATTATGTTTAATGAACTTGACCTACCCTTTACTATGGAAGAAATATTACAGGGTATTGTGGACCTGAACTTAGGTCGTAGTGCAGGCCCAGACGGTATTATAAACGAATTCTTAGTCTATGGAAAGGATATCTTAGCTTTACATATTTTGAAAATTATTTAATAAAATTCTTGAAAAAGGTTATTTTCCAACCTCATGGAGTGAAGGATATATCATCCCTATACATAAAAAGGGTAGTCTAGATAATGCCCCAAATTTTAGAGGAATTACTCTTTTAAGTGTCGTTGGAAAATTATTTACAAGTATTATTAACAAACGACTTACTTTATGGGCTGAAAATTACTATATATATGTTGAAGCTCAAGCAGGTTTTAGAGCGAAAATGGGGACTGTTGATAATATTTTTGTTCTTAACAGTCTTATTAATCATGTTCTTAATCAAAATAAGAAATTATTTTGTGTCTTTGTTGATTTTTCGAAAGCGTTTGACTACTTAGTAAGACCGAATATATGGTATAAATTATTCAAATTGGGTGTAAGGGGTAAGTTATTTAATATTATTCAATCAATGTATGCACACGTACGTTCAAGAGTAAAATTATATGGTGAGACAGTTCTATTTTTGATAGTTATCTGGGAGTAAGACAAGGTGAATCTTTGAGTCCTTTTCTGTTTGCCATGTATTTAAACGATTTAGAAGAAGAATTGTTCATTAAGGGTGCAGAGGGTGTAGATATAGGATCATTGAAACTATTTTTATTGATGTATGCTGATGATATTGTTCTTTTAGCAAACTCTGCTGAAGAACTACAGACTAGTCTTAATATTTTACATGAATATTGTTCCAGATGGAAATTAAGCTTAAATAAAGATAAAACAAAAGTGATAATATTTCGAAAAGGGGGGCGTTTACCAAATAACTTGGCTTTTTATTATGATGGAAATATTTTAGAAATCGTCAATAAATATACGTACCTAGGAATTGTTTTTTACGTCAGGTGGCTCCTTTAAGGAAGCCTGTAATACGTTTATCAGGGCAAGCATTAAAGGCAATTTTTAAGTTAAAAAGTTATATGTCTAGGTTTGTTAATTTGTCTTCAGATCATGTCTTAGACCTGTTTGATAAACTAATTAAGCCAGTCCTATTTTTATGGTGCTGAGGTGTGGGGTTTTTTACAAGCAAACCAAATTGAAAGGGTGCATACAATGTTTTGCAAACGAACATTAGGTGTAAAAGTAAGCACACAAAATGATTTTATATACGGCGATCTTGGAAGAACTGATCTATATAGTCTTAGAATTGTGTACATTATAAAATATTGGTTGAAAGTAACAAGCAGCCCTGAAAATAAATATATAAATTATATATATAAAATGATGTTAAATGACATTGAAAATCAACCTCAAAAATCAAATTGGGCTTCATGTGTTAAGAATATTTTATCCAGACTCGGTTTTTATCATGTTTGGCTTGCGCAGGGAGTAGGAGATTTTAACATATTTGTACAAATTTTTAAGCAAAGAATAAAGGATGTTTTTGTACAAGGATGGCAAAGTAGGATTGATATCTCAACAAGAGCTACTTTTTATAAATCTATATGTAGTTTTGGTTTTCAACCATACCTTAAAATACTTAATGTTAAAAAATATAGAAATGCATTATGTAGATTGAGAGTATCCTCACATCGATTAAAATATAGAATGTGGCCGATGGAATAGAACTGTAAGAGAAAATAGACTTTGCATATCGTGTAATAAATTAGAAGACGAATTTCATTTCCTTTTTGAGTGTAACATGTATGACACAATTAGAGATAAATATATAAATAGATACTACAGAGTTCGACCAAGCATGTTTAAAACCATAGAATTGTTTTCATCAGAAAATGTTAAAGTAATAAGAAATTTATCTGTATATGTATTACAAAGCATTTGAAATAAGAAGATGTAGATATAATATTTAGATAGTATAGTGTTACATTCTTTAATAATTTTTATTGATTGCACATGGTTGAACTGCGGTAATAATGTATTAGAAGTAAAAATATCATGTGTGGTACACAAATGTATTTATTGTATGTATATACGTACGTATGTACGCACGCAGCACGTGCGTACGTAAGTACGTACTGACATGTTAGAAAATAGTTAATACAAATAATACCAAAAAAAAAAAAAAAAAAAATAAGAAGATGCAAAATAATGTTTCATACTTAGTTTATGTTTTATATCAATCTTGATGAACATTTTATGATTCAATTATAAACAAAAACAAATATTTAAAATAGTCACTTTTTAAGAAAAAGTCTGACACATTCTTTTGTATTAGATATTTTGAAATGTAAGGGAAGTAATTAAAAATCAAAAGCATTTAAATCTTGTAAGAGTAATGTATCCTGTTTCTTGCATCTTACTATTTTCACATATATCTTGTTTACTTTACTGACAGATTTTATTGTTGACTAATGCCAATATCAAGTCAAAAGTGTATATACCAAAATGTGACTATGAGCTATAATGGCTTTGTCAATTGTGTATTGTGAGATTTATGAAAGAATAAAGCTTCTTCTTCTTCTTCTTATACGATTTAACCCTGACACATTTTCAACAGAAAGGTCCCCAAACTATGATACAAGAGAATATAAACGAATTTTATTTTACAAACCAATTGGAAAATCAGAATTGTCATATTCACTATGCATAGGTAGAGTATATTGAAACAGATAAAGTATGATCAAAAATCAATTCTGCAGAGGTTTGAAATCAATCATGTTCTTTTATTATTTTTAATAATTCAGTATAGATTTTACTCACGACCGGTATCATATATAGATATATGCCAAGTTCCTCCGCACATTTCGTTCGGATTTCCGGGGCATTGTGTGGTGCACCCTGTTCCTTGAGGGTAATTCTTTATAACGTTATCGCAGAAACATTGTTCGCCGTCCTTAAAATATGGATAGATATAAAAAATTACCAAAGATGCAAGGTTATTTGAATATTTCACTTCATACTCTTTTTTCAATAGTTCAAATCAAGCTCTTTCTATATGTCATGGTCTATAAACGTCGTTTTATGTACAAGATTCGGACACAAATTGTCAATATAGCAAATAACACACCATTCTTTTTCATATTTTTCGACTTTTTTCTTACAGAATGATTACATTTCAGATTACCTCTGTTCCAGCGAATTTGTAGCCAGCGGCCATACACTGTTGTTTACAGCTATCACCAGTATTTTGGTTGTTGTGAGACAATTTTGTTGACAGTATTCGTTCGGGTCTGTCAAAGTAACATCCGAGGTAACTTGAAGAAACTTCATATTCAATGATTGGAGCGGGTTTCTCTATATTTTTCAAAAAGGTTAGAATAGATTGAAGAGATAAACAATTACAAGTTATGTTTATCTCTCTCTTTCTATCTCTCTCTACATACATTAAGGTATGCCGTCTATGAATTAATATTCATGTACATATTCCGGAAAATCTGAGATAAACAAAATTGAAAGGCAGGCTCATGTAAACGATCTGTGGCGAGAAAATTATATAAAAGGTTTATTTTCTTAATTATAGACGGATTCAATATAATATTATTTATTTGCAATCATAAATGTTCTTTATATCTTTATTTCATCTCTATTTCTTCCAGGGGATTCGAAATTCCACAGTGAAGCTTTTCACAATTCTTTAAAAAGAAGAATATACTTGCTTATCACAATATTATTGGTTATAAACAAATTGTTTAGTTGGCAAACGTATATATATTTTGAGACAAGCAGGGATTTCCACATTTCGGCGGCGTAAAAATTCTCCGCTTGTAAAAATAAAATTTGCTTTTCCTTGTTTTTGTATTTTTAGAATCGAAATGGTATACGATCGTTTTGATGGAATAACCTTAATAACTAAGCCCTAGAGCCTTTGTTTGAGAATGTCAAAACCCCAACCCGGTGTAAAATAGCTGATAAACACCATTCAGACCTCAGATCTTTTTAGATACCATCAATTATCTACGCAACGTAAATCATGTCATCCCAAAAACAAAAAAAACATACATAAATGCAAACCTTTATTTATTGCTATATGGTGATCTATAAACTATAGATAGCTCATTTTCAAAGTTTGTTTCGTTGAAGCACATTAACTGAGGCGTTTAACAACTCACCTGAAGTATCATAGATCGAGATATGCCAGTGACCTCCACATTTTTCATAACTATTGCCAAAACACCATGAAGTACACCCTGTTCCTTGCGGGTAATTTTTATACGTGTGTCCACAAAAACAGTGATCCAACTATGAAATTAGAATTATCATTTTTCAATATTTCCTCATTTGACTTCACTTTTACAATCAATTAGAATATCATTGATGAATAGACTGCCTAGTTTGCTTCATCAAAGGATGCATATGATATAAATTGCCCATGTTCACTTTTGAGTAAAATATTCTTTGTGCTTAAACTCATTAAAATCTGTAAATTCCTACTGAATATGTGGTATTTATACAATAGAACTTACAAACTACGCAGGGTATAATCCATAGTCTGCTTAAAGTCCGCTTGCGACCGAGAAAAAAAAACTAGAAAATGCCGACCTTAGACTGAAAAGTGATAAATAAGTTCAACAAAGATCAAATCACTGAGTCATTATTATTATTATAACAAGGAGTTACATACAATATATTATTTATAGTTTAAGCCCAATGGTAAAACCTAATTTTTCGCAATATAATTTCTAACCCCGATCCTTTAAAACATTTGCTATGCTATGCTATACGGTGGCTTGCTTATTCATTGTACGGTTGTTTGAAAATATAAAATAAAACAGTATTCGGTTCTTTAAGAGCCAACTACTTTGCAATTTTCTGACAGCTTTTTTTTTTTTTTTTGGGGGGGGGGGGGGGGGGGGGGGTTAGCTATCTGTAATGAATTTTGATCTTAAAAAATCACATATTTACGGCGTCTTTACTTTTCAATGATTTGGAAATGGGTAAATACACCAACATTGGACAAGATATATGTCCATAAAATGTCTTATTTGCATTAATTTAAAGCGTTAATTCTTTGACTGCTCCTTGTGTTCACATAATGTTCCTTAAATATATCGTTTGTCCATAAACACAATGGTCCAGTGACCTGACGGTACAATTTGTAAAGTTTAAACGATAATGTGTGCATTCTATTTTCTTTGTTTTTGAGACATACACAATCCGTTTCGAACTTTGGAAAATGCAAATGACATTTATAAAATAAATATGAAAGTGTATCTAATTGACCCGTAAACTTCAATGATGCCATAATGACAGTGTGTTAATATAACATTTCTTTCGTAAGATAAAATAAATAAAACCTCCATTGCTCAATCATGTGTCAAAATTAAAAGTGTGTCTTTCCTTAAACTGATGATGACTTAATATTGTAAACTATTTTATGCAGAAATCAATCATACTTTGGTTCAAAATCTTCACAGTGATTACCCTCCTTTGCAGATTGTAATCACTGCCATCGCAGACGTCACATGATATTGAAAGTCACATGACGTAACGTCAAAATTCAAATGTTAATATCGACAGTTACAGAAAATCTAACGCCATTTTTTTCTTTCTGTTTTATTTCTAACTTAGCGTACCTACGTTCATTATAGCTAATTAAAAAATCAAAAGTATACAAAATAATGAAAGAAGCAAAAAATATAAAATATCAAAATATTGATAAAAATCCGTGTGATGTCAAGGATCTGATAAGGGGAGATCACTGCGTAGGAGATTGACTTTGATTCATATATGCGTACAGGAAAACATACAACAATAAGTCAAACTACAACGTCCAAGAACAACGGTCAATTCATTTCCGGCATTCGTTCGTTACTTAATTTATTAATATATTTGATCATTTATTTGTTTATAAATATTTATCTATCTTTATTTATTAAGAACAGCAAAGAAGGACACTAAATTCTTATTGAATATTTAATTGATTTATTAATTCTTTGGGTATTTCATTGATTCATGAGTATCAAATAAAAATCAACTATCACTAATGTAGCGAAATAGAATAAAAATATATATTGATTTAAGCATTTAAGACTAGCATAGTAAGTAAATGTGAATATTATAATAATACTTCGAATAGTTTTCATCAATATCAACTCAAAAAAATCAAAACATGCTTACTGATTTTATTACATAATTGCTAAATGTTGCTAAAACTGTTTTGCACTGATTCAGTTGCAACATAATTTAACAAATTATCAAATTATTAATTGGGACATATGTTGAGACGATTTGAATTGTTCATTTTTACAGTTTTTCTTTTAAAATATGACACACGTTTTCCAAAATTATACATTTTTCAAAGGAGCTTCACGTATTCTTAACAAAAAAATCTTTAACTTTGAATAGTAATAAGGATAACAATTGTTAACAAATCGCCCTTTAGACGTTTATTGTGATCAGAAATGCAAACGATATTACAAGCAAACGTACATTGACCTCGCAAGTATTTTCAAATTATGCAAGCAAAATTTGCTCAACAAAGGTATTCACGTCAAATTTTCCCTAATTTTCTGGTACTAAGATGAGTATTCGTCAAGGAGTCAAAAGGGTATGTACAAATATAAGATGTAAAACTAACATTGTTGCTTGAAGTCGACAAGAAAAAGACATTTACTAGAAATCGAAGTGAGAAATCGCATTGTTTTAATTATAAAGGATTTACAAATACAAACATACCGGGTAAATCTATTCATGTCCAACTCATAAAAATAAACATTTCCTCTATGTGCCGTATAAACCTCGTTCGCAAGCTGACGACGCAGTGAACACTGGCGTGTACACTGTGAACTATGTATGGGAATCTGCGATACTTATAAACTGCTACTTTTTGATGACACTTTATATTCATAGTGTGCCAACTTATAGTGTGTAAAAGAATTAAAATGTAGCATATCTACTTTGTTTGAAGTCAAGACATGTTTATTTTACATTTACAAAAAGACCTTGTAACAATTATCAATATTTTAAAATATCACATTTCAGCACCTTTATCTTTAATGTACTAGTATAACATTATGTACATTGCTAACAAAGTACGACTGATCATCAAATTGGATTAATTTATATGGTAACAATAACAAATAATTTACTGCTTGATAGCTCCTCGTACTTTTTTAAATTTTCTAATTTATTTTTTTATATAAAAATATAAAAACCTCTGTTCCAGCATATCTGTAGCCGGCGTTCTTACACTGTTGTATGCAGGCATCTCCAGTGCTGAGATTACTGACTGACAATGTTTTTGATAATATTCTTTCAGGTTTGTCAGTGTAACATCCAATAAATCCAGGCGGTCTATAAACTAAATACAGCTATAAATTATAAATTTATATTGAAATTTTCCTTTGTAGTACATATAGGTTATTAAAGACAAATTAGTTACTAGTACTAAGATTGTCAAGGTGACAACGGAGTCAATTATAACTGAAAGTACCTAAAATGAGATTTTTTGCTTAATAGTTTTAACAACCTTTTCTGAACACATTCATGTTTTAATTTTGGAGCAGCTAGTCCAAAAAATGTGTTCTAAACGATTTAAAACGGTAACTACACCATTTTTATCTGCTATTCGTGTAACCTGTCAATTATCGATAACGCTCTGCCCCCCCCCCCCCCCCCCCCCCCCCCCCCCCGTGAATAACCGGTCCATACTGGTCCATACTACTCGTAATTCATGTATCGTACAAATACCGTACATGCTTTACGAATATATCAAAATTATATCGTCTACATTTTATTTAGACTTTTTTTTATAAATTAAGAAATTGTCGGCCAATGTACGTTACATAATGTATGAAACATAAATAATTAAGCATAGCGGCAAATCGCACGACCACGGGGTTGATTTAAATTGTAGTTGCTAAAATATCCATAATGTGTGAAAATAATTTGTCTGTCCCGTTAATCTGATAGATATTACATTGAGTTTATGGACTTTTGTATCAAGGGCTTGCTTTACATCTAACCTCGTTTTCTAACAATGTGAAGAAAACAACAACAGAAATAGACAAGATTTTTCATGTATATGACGTGTGGTAAGCTGTCCCCGACATATTTCAAAACCATTTTAGATTGTTTAAGGATGATTACTTCTCTATGGATCAATAAAAAAAGATATATATTGTCAGTGAATGCTTCGTATAAATTGTTCGCCAGTAAATCGAACACAGTAGCAATAAACCTGGGACAAAGTATGGAATTTATTGTATATCCAAGTAAAACTGGATATCTATGCCGTGCACGGCATATTCATCATAATAGAAGTCAAGAAAGTCAGATCATAATGATCGAGTAATACCTTTTATTTCTGTTAAAATATGTGATGCATTTATATCAATTTGGAGGAGAAAAAAAACCCCATAATATCCCGTTCTTATTTGTATATCTACCATGTGCTTTAAAAGACCGTCAGAAGCTCAGTTTTTTTGTTATTTTAATTTATTTTTTAAAGGAATTTCATACACGAATACACAGGCAGAGTGACACAGGTATAATGTAATAATAATGCTGATGATAATAAAAATAAACTTCAAAGGTGAAACAATTAAATACCACGCTAGCGGTGCGCAAATGCGTTCCATTTCCCCCCCACCGAGCGCCTCAAATTTTACCGATAGTCACGTGACATGTGCGACAGATATCAGATGGACGGTAAATGACGTTAAAATTTGAAGAAATTTCTGTTATAAACTGATATTTATCAACAGCTTTTTAATTGGTCAGATGTCACTGGGCCATAAAATGTTGTTAGAGTATGTTACCACAATCTGTGACCCTCTTTGGTGCGATATTTGTGTATTTTGCAATTATTTAGCGTGAAACATTGGATCCGAGAGAGAACAGCCAATTTATATTTTTTTGAGAAAAGATAAAAAAATTTGAGACGCGTTTCCCCAGATATTATAAGTATGTTTATTTTCCATAAGTTTGATGACAAAAAAATAAAAAATGACTTTGACATGACGATTTAAAATTTTAAGATTTTTATTAAAAATCAATGGCTTTTTTTCAAATATGTCATTTTAATGATGATCAACGTCATTTAATGCACAAAGATTAAATAAATAACAATTATTATTAAAATAAGTTGGTTTAAATGACAACGGAAAGTGTCTGTTGTCACCTTAAGTTGCTCTCTTTTTTCTTACCTTTAAAATAAATTTAAATTATTGCCTATTACAACAGGTGAATAATACAAATTTTCACTTACAACAAAACAAAAAAAAGATAATATTTGTGAATACTTCAACTCACTGCTGTTGTATTTTGCAATCGTTCGGGATAATTGATGGCTTAAGAAAGTTTGGACGTTGCATAATCCTTCACAACTGATGCAATAATTTGCAATTGTCAAAAGCTTGTTCTGTTTTTATTGCTCTTTTCAGAATGAATCAGGATGCCAAAATTTTCTACCTTTGTCATAAAGATACTTACGCCCAATCTCATATAAGGATAAATGCCATGTGCCACCACACTTCTCATTTGGATTTCCTGGACACGTAGCTGTACATCCAGTTCCTATCCCGTAATCTTTAAAAACGTTTCCACAGAAACACTGGGTTCCAAGCTAAAACGAACAACACTTTATTAGTAAAACACCGAACAAAATTTCATATACAACATTCTGACAAGATTAATCAGATAACTGTCAACGTTTGAATCATAAGTTACCCTTTTGTATTACTACTCGTATGTTGTATCTATTTTATGGCAGGACTCATTTTGAAAATAAAGTATTATGAAGAACGCTAAGTTAAAGGTCCACTACTAAGACCCAATAAAAAGTATGCTAAACAAAAGACATTTTTCTTATCACCTCAAAATTGTTCAAGTATGTAAAACTGAGTAGATTGAAAACATATTATGATTATAATATTTCTATACGACCACTTAGTCAATGCCATTGTCATGCCTGTTTTTATAACGGAAACGAACGTTTTCCGATTTCCCCGAATGCGTCGTACATCTTCGGGGTTTTTCCGGATTGATTTCATAACGAGGCTTGTATACATGTAGAACCGCCATACAAAAACAAAGCGACGTGACATTTATCAAGAATAATATTACCGTTCTGTCATTAGTTGAAAGGAACCTATGTCTTCGGTAAGTGTTAGTATTTGAAGAAGACTATTTGATTTTTAGATTTTAATAGGTTACGATAAACAAATTTAT